GCTTAAGAATAGTGGCTTTTTCTTTCATATATCATCACTAGAATTTCAGTAGTGTCTTAATTTATCACACATATTAACCTTCTCAACTATTATTATACAGAAAAATAGTAGATCATAATGTTTAAGTGTGCAGAGTCTGAAGCCAGCCTGCTGGGGTTTGAATCTACTCTCTATTACTACTAGCTGATTTCATATCTCTCTGCATTGGGGACAATTATCAGAGGAGATAATGCTCTCACAGGTTTGGTTTTTTTTTTTTAAATAGCAAGCAACCAAATAAATTTACTTTTCCCATGCCTCTGGGAAACTTGGGAAGCACCAGGTTTCCCTTCTGGTTTAACCAAAGTAATGCACAAATATTCATACCTTTGAGAAAAGAGATATTTAATATTACTCAACTACAAACCCACTATTGGTTGTTATCACTTTTCTCCCATGATAAGAAAAAACTGCATCTCTATGTACTTGCTCTTTTATTTCTGTAGGTTAAAATTTGGGGGATTTCTGGCCAATTTATAAACATATCTTAAATTTTGATTACCGTTGCTAAACTATCTCCCAGAAAGATTATACAAAAGGTTAAGCTGACAAGAGCATCCATTTTCCCTATTTAACTTTGTTGACAGTTTTTAGAGGGTTTTGGATAATAATGAAGTTCTTAATGTCATCGTTGCCAGATCCATCAATCTTTCTTTTTGGGGGGGGTGGGTGGGGGGCAGTTGTGCTTTGCTGGTACTTCATCCAGTTTTCTTGCAAGACCTGAGTATGTATAAAACCTTAGCAGGTTACTCAATCAACTAGCAGCTCTGAGTACTCAGATTATAGGCTTAAAGGTAAACTGCAGAGACATAAAAGAGCTTTAAAATTTTTACCTAGAATGCCTGAAGTTTTCTCAATATTCTTTACATTCTGGTGTCTATGTTATTTGATTACACACGTGTAGTATTTGATGACAGTGTTGGTAATATAGAGGTGAGATAGTGTAAATCCCTTTTAATAAAATAATCTTCTAACCCTGAAATTCTTTCTAATCATAGCTATGTCATGAGTTCAGGTAAAACTTGAGAACAGAACAAATGATAATCAGAATTTTGTATAATTTGTCTTTTTTTTTTAATGCTGTTGCAGTTTTGTCCTTTTAATTATGCTGTACTTTAAAACATTTTGAAGTTCAGTCCTGGGTGCATTTGGCTCTGTGTTTATGAAGAAAGAGTTCTTAAAGTGAATAAGATCTAGAATCACTGCTAGATTGAGAAAGCTTTGTTGTCTCTCAAAACAAAATGATCAGTAATCATTCTTTAGTAGAAGTAATAAATTGCTTTTTATTAAAACATACTTGTTTGTATGTCAGATAATTGAGAGACTGATTCTCAGACACCCTAGTTTTAATCTAGAATCTTAAAATTTCAAGTTGACAGTTTCTTAGTGAGTAAATGTACATGTATGCTTAGTTTCTAAAGTTTTACTAAGATATTCTCATGCATTGAAGGCTTACTATCTCTGTGCTGTTCACTATGTACCAATTCCTTATACTGTAGCCATAAATTCTAAGCAGTATTTATAGGTAGTGGTTCAGTGGACATTTGTTAAATCAATTGAGTTTGAATTGTTACATTTTATAAATGTGCTATTTAATAAAATGAAAAACTTGTGCTTTAGATAAAACAAATGTAAATAGTTATTAGAAAATGTCATTTTATTTTCTCATTAAATTATCTGATCTATTTAATATTTAAGTTCAGTGGCATAATTAATTTTGAATATGTTCTCACAGACTTACATGTAAAAGTCAACAAATAGATCCTTGCCACTTGTGTGAAGTAGCTATTTAACCATGAAGTAAACTATTTGTATTGCCACTGCCCTGTGGATATGTTCTCTCTGGCAGTGCTGTCCATATTTGGTGGCCCTGCATGGAGAGCCAGGTGGTGCTGAAAAGCATCACACAGTGAAGCGTGGATATATCTAGGTTCAACATTTGTCATCCCTTACTGCTGAAGGGAAGGGTAAAATCTGTTTTTCCATATGTTTATGCTTTTTTTTTTTTGCCTGCAGTTTTGTCCAGATGGTCTTATGAACATTGTTTACTTTAGGATGTTATCCCAGATGTTTTGAAATCTAATGGGTAAATGTAGTACACAGATACATAAGTAATTTGCATGTTATGGTTTAAAAATGCGATATGTTTTTATAAGATTAAAATATAATTTCTGGAAGTATTTTCCCAAGTGAATAAGAAATGTGTGTTAAATATGTAATATATTTACATATAGTTAGTATAATCGATATAGTTTAGATCCCCTAATCACTCTGTTTTTATGTTAATAAGCTAAAAAATATGGCAACATTTATTAAGATTGTTAACTAAAGGAAATACTTTTGAAGAGCCATATTTGTTCAGGGTTGCATATACCCAGATTTGTAAGAATGTTGTCCTACTTACTTTCTTTTATAATTCTTCTCATTGTACATAAATCACCAAAGAGAAATTAGTTGGTAAATGACAATGAATTTATAATGAAAAGGTTACCATTATGATTGTGGGCAAATCACTTAACCTGTTGGAGACTGAGTTTTGTAAATATAAAATCAGAGAACAACCTCATGCCAAAAAAAATGGATTAATGCTTGGATTTAATTATTCTTTCGTCTTAAATCTCTTACAAATCACTATGAAACCATCTAGTGGCAATAGCTATAGTGAGAACCTGAAACCTGCCGATTCCAGCCTCCAGGTGGAATCTCAGATATAATAATGAAGAGGTGGGCTGCTCTTGTTTACAAACCCAGCCAGGATCCTATGGGGCTTCTTGTTTGTGTAATGCTTTCTAAGCACTGACTGGCATTTGTCACTTGCAAGTTTGAATACTGTCTGGCTTTCTCTTGCTGCCTCTTTTCTCCATGCCTGGCCTCCGCATTTCAGTGACCTCCTCTAATTGTACCAGCCGTTGCCGCTAAGCTCTGTGTTCTTAACACAGTGAAGAACAAGAAAGATCTCTTCTCCTGCCCTCCAGATAGTACAATAAGTGATAAGAAATAAATTGGAAAGAAAAATCTTTTCCATGCAATCAATTTGCTTAATGATAGAAACATCTTAGAAGCCACCAATACATTTTTTCTCAATGAGATATTTTCACATGTTGAAAAGAAAAACCAAGAAATTATGAAAACCACAAAGTCAGTATAAAAGGCAAAACTTGTATTAGCAATTCAGAAAATCCAATCAGAAATAAGAGATAAACTTGAGGGGGGAAAATTCAGAAAGTACAGGGAATGATTAAAGAGAAGAAAAAAAGTGAGAGCAGATCAGCAGTAGACATGAAGAATAACTCACAAAGATATGGATTCTGGCACAAATAATTTTTGGTGGCTTGCTGGACTGTTTTTCACACACACAGTGCTTACCATGCCAACTACTTTGCAAATAGCAGCTCATTTAATCCTTATGAAAAGTCCGTGAGAAAATGTGTTAATAACCTCGATTGATACTGGAGCCCCATCTATTGAGGCCTTATTTTTGGGGGGTGGGGGACAAAAGTCAAAGGTGCCAAGTCAAGCTTTGTTTGAACCAATAGCATGTGGGTGACATCACTCTGCCAGCAGCCAAGACTAAAGTTTCTCTTTATGGTGTTTTCTTGCCCCTGTCCTGAGAACAGGGCCACCTCCACCTCTGTTCATCCCCGTAAAGCTTCTGTACAGATGGCAGGGTGGGGAGCTCATCAGAGACATGGAAGGCTACAAGTCTACTCTATTTGCTGTTTAATCTTGTAGTTTTTTCATTTATATTGACTTTTTATTATGTATGTTCTCCCCAACATCACACCCCTGTGGAAGAAGGAGCATTCATCTGATTAGAGGGTCAAACAGATAAGCATTTAGCAGTTAATTGGCAATACAAGGCAGCATGTCAGTATTAGATGAGTAAAATACTGTATATAATTGTAAAGAACTACACAATCTGAGGGTTAAAAGGGATTTAAAAGAACATTCAGTTGAAACCAAAAGATTTGAGAACCTGGGACTTTCCTATCAAACTTCAAATAATAATGATTCAGAAAATAATCTGTTAAATAGGTATAATTGTGTCAGTTCATGAGTGTTAAGAATTGTTCTTCATTTTCATATTGTTATTAAACATATACTATAATTTTCAAATTTGCATTAATTATACAAGTTAGTAAACCCAAAACATACACTCAATGTACTATATATACACTTAGGTATTTTAGCTTTTATATTATACTTCTGTTAACTTTTAACTTTTTATTTGGCATTTTTAAATATAGAAAAGTTGCAAGAATACCAAAAAAATTGCCATTGTATAGGGATTTTCTAATTTCATAATTTCTTTTGTTTATTAGTTGGCATTCTCTTGTAAGGAAATTTTCTCCCTTTCATCCCCATTATAAAATTTATTATCAATTCAGAATCACTTTCATTTTATTCAGTGAATAATAATCTGCTAGTGCCCTTTTTTAGTTTTATATTCAAACTGTACCATATTGGACCTGTGGGAACCTATTAGAAGTGGCACCTGTGTATTTTGACATATTCGTCACTTTTTTGGGAGCACTTATTTTTTGGCACAACAATAATGTGATAGGCTCATTTGGCCTCTTTGCTGCCCCAGGTTAAGAATCAGCCTTTTCTTCAAGGAGTGTACATTTCTTTTAGTAAGGGATGGTATTTAGAAACCCAAGATCTGGATCTTTTGTACTCATTTTTTAACTTTACTCATTTATGTTTAATTTTTCAATTAATCTGGAGTTTAATCTGCAATGTGGTGTGAGGTACAGATGTGTAAATTAACATGAATTAAAATGAAGTGCTTTAGAGGTAAGATACAAAACTCAAGACAGTTATTTGTTTGTATTCCTGTCCTTCAGGAGCACTGATTCAGGGGAAACAGCTTATTTAATGTCAAATAATGTATTTAAATGATGTTAAGTGATATGTACTTAATTTTACATTTCATGTCAGTTATGTTTTCTCTCACTTAGATGCATTTTCTAGAATTATAAAACTTTGTGAAGAAAAACATGAAACAGATGAAAAAAAGAAGGGAAAAAAAGGCAACAGTGTAACATCTGTAAAAGGAATTACGAATTTAGGAAATACTTGCTTTTTTAATGCAGTTATGCAGGTAAGAGGCATCTGAAAGCTTTGTAAAATGTCAAAGATCATTTTAATTAATTTATATTTGTTTGCACACCTGTAGCCTGTCAAATGACTACTAAATATTCATCTAGAAATTTGTTTTCTTTTTGTTTGTTTTAGGCTATTTTTAGCCATCGTCATACACATATATAAACTTCCTTTTCCACAGTGCTTCTTAAATGTCTTCTCTGTATTTTACCATGGCTCTATCAGTAACTATGACATTTATTAAATGTAAAATGTACTCAATAAATTTTTTAAAGTTGAAAAACGTTTCCTATGCAAGATGAAATTTGAAACTTAGGAAGAGTACTGTAATTTATTCCATAAAATCAGAGACATAGTATACCTAAATCAGAAGACTTTTGTTTTCTTTTAGAACTTGGCACAGTCTTACATTCTTATTGAACTGATGAATGAGATAAAAGAAAATGGTACAATACTCAAGATTTTCCCTTCCTCAGACTCTCAGATGGTAAGAAATGTAACTATCTGGATAAGAGCTCTTTTGAGATGAACCAGCGTCCTTTCGGAGTGACCCTCAACCAACTGAGCCACATCAGCCAGAGCAGGGAGTTTGACTTTTGTTGAGTAAAATGTCCAGGGCTCCTGTTTTGTAGTTACTGGTGACATTTGCTTAAATATAGCATTTTTGTTCTTTAAAGATAGATTAATTTTAATAGTGAACATCTAAAGGTTTTTTTGAAGCGTAATCTGATCATAGGTTTTTAAGCTAATGAGGAGGAAAAAAGCAACCTCTGACATTCAGCAGCTGGCCTGGCACCCGCAGTTAGGCCATGTTATTCAAACAGTTTCACAGAATACCAATCCCAGGCCAGGCTACTTTCAGTCTAATAAATGAGGCAAAGCAAGGTTACTTCATGATTTCAAATAACCAGGCTGCTCTATCATTTAGAAAATTCTAAACAACCTGTCTGTTGGCCAAAATGATTGAGTGCTGTTTCTTTTCCTTTTTTCAATTTATCTTTATTGCTAAAAGTATTACAGATGCCCTCTTTGTTTTTTTCCCATTGACCCCCTCCACCCTGCATCCCCCGCCCCTGAGGCCTTCTGAGTGCTATTTCTTTATTAGTTTATCTTCATTCTCGTCTCCCCCCACACACCCACATATAAGATTTATTGAGATACCTAATCATAGAATTACCCCCACTTTCTGACACTGTCCAAGCAAGAGCAGACCTCTGCTTGCTTAGCCTCCCTGCTGAATTACCCAGCTAGAGCCCCAATCCTATATTGGTTCTTTCAAATATGCTCTTATTTAGACACCCCATGGTCCCCCATGGTTCGTGTTCTCCCTCAGTGCATCAAGCAGTAAACCCACCTTGTTCAACTGCAGGTGTGTTCCTGGTGGTCTTTGGCTGGAGAGCATTAACATTAGTAATAATGATTACAGTTAGAAATTGATGTGTGTGTGTGTGTGTGTGTGTGTGTGTGTTAGAAGAAGAGAGAGTGTATGAATAGCTCATGATCTGGTTTTCAAAAATACTTAAGAAAGAGTTCTTCTAGAATTTCTTAGCCCACTGTAGTAATCTTAGATTTTTCTTCCAAGGAGACAGTTTTGAAAGACAATATTATTGAAAAAGCAGACTATAAATTCATTGCCTGTTTAGCCCCTTAACATTTTTTTAAAATATATTTCTTTATTGATTTCAGAGAGGAAGGGAGGAGAGAGAGATAGAAACATCAATGATGAGAGAGAATCATCGATCAGCTGCCTCCTGCACACCCCCTACTGGGGATCGAGCCTGCAACCCAGGCATGTGCCCTTGGCCAAAATCGAACCTAGGACCCATCGGTCTGCAGGCTGACGCTCTATCCACTGAGCCAAGCCGGCTAGGGCCCCTTAACATTTTTATGGTAGATCCCAATGCCCTCTTCTAAAGTGAGGTGAGCCCTGGCCAGTATGGCTCGGTTGGTTGGAGCGTCATCCCCGTCCCCATGCACCAAAAAGGGTGGTTTAATTCCAGGTCAGGGCACATACACAGGTTGCAGTTATCCTAGAAGATAACATACTATAATGTTTGAGGATTATATTTGGGATCTGCATTTTTACTCATTATGCATAAGAAGAGGGGTATTACTGTGGAAAATAACATTTTAGAAAACAAAACGTGATGGAATAGAAATTCTAGAATAAAGTGCATTGATCATTCACCAATTTAAGCTACTTTTGCCCAGCTTTTTGTCTCTCCCCTTTATTTTTTATTTTTTAAATATATTTTATTAATTTTTTACAGAGAGGAAGGGAGAGGGATAGAGAAACATCGATGAGAGAGAAACATCGATAAGCTGCCTCCTGCACACTCCCCACTGGGGATGTGCCCGCAACCGAGGTACATGCCCTTGACCGGAATCGAACCTGGGACCCTTGAGTCCACAGGCTGACACTCTATCCACTGAGCCAAACTGGTTAGGGCTGTCTCTCCCTTTTAAAAGAGAGAGAGAGATGGTATACCAGTTTCCCCCATTCCTTATTTAGCAGTAAAATATTTGGGGGAAAGAAGGGTATGGAGTTTTGCTAATATAAATATAATTTATGATTATTTGTGAAAATGTACAAATATCAAGTAGATGAAGAATTTTACTTTTAGGAGAGCACATTAAGGGACAGTTATAAGCAACTAAAAATTGGTGATTTCATTCTTAAGCTAATAGTTTTATTAAGTACTAGTAAAGGACAGATGATATGAGAATACCTGTGTCTTTCAAAATAAAGCATTTAATTCTAATTTTCATTTTTATATTTTTATATATGAGGGACTAAAGTTTCTTAATACAGTTGAGGGAATTTAGTTGTCATCATTGAAACAAACTAGAACTGTTTGATTTAAAATATATATTTCTGACATAGAGTGACCTTGTTTTTAAAGGATCCATTAATGGTGGAACTTTCAAGCCCGGGCCCATTGACCTCAGCCTTGGTCCTGTTTCTTCACAGCATGAAGGAAACTGACAAAGGATCGCTGTCTCCTAAAGCGCTCTTCAATCAGCTTTGTCAGAAGTGAGTGCACCTACATTATCAATATAAATAATCATGAGTTACAAAATGCTATTGTGTTTGTACTTAATATGAGTACTTTCAGTCTTACTGTAACATTGCTATTACTGCCTGGATACCAAGAGGAGGAATTAACATTGTTTAGCTGCAGCTCTGTGGTCTATGAGAATTATATCGTTTTAAAATATATATATATTTTTAATTGATTTCAGAGAGGAAGAGAGAGGGAGAGTGAAATAGAATAATTGATTGGCCACCTCCTGCACACTCCACACTGGAGATTGAACCCATAACCTGGGCATGTGCCCTGACCCGGAATCGAACCGTGACCTCCTGGTTCATAGGTTGATGCTCAACCACTGAGCTAGCTGGCCGGGCTGGGAAATTATATCTTATAAAACTCTGAAGAAGTGATTGTTTATCCCCATTTTATATATAAGGAAACTGAGACTCATAGCAGTTTAGTACTTTACCCCATTTCATAGTAACAAAACCAGGATTCACATAGAGGTCTGTTCTAACTCAGAAGCCCATGATTATGCATTATACACAGACAATAGGGTGGTGAAGGCCTTGAACAGGGTGGAAATCGGATGGAAGTGGCAATGGGGGTGGGGAAAGGGGAACATCTGTAATTCTCTCAACAATAAATATTTTATTTAAAAAATTAAAAGAAGCCCATCATGTAACACAATAAAGTATGAAAATTATAGAATTGTAAGATCTTAAAAGGTGCTATAATAGATATCTAACCTAGTTTCTTTATTTTAAAAGATGAGCTTTGAGGCAAATAGAGTTTAAGTGAATTTCTCAAGATGTTATGAAATGTTTAAAAACAAAATATTTGCCCGGCTGGCGTGGCTCAGTGGTTGAGCCTCAATCTAAGTGGTTGAGCCCCAATCTATGAACCAGAAGGTCATGGCTCGATTCCCCTTCAGGGCACATGCCCAGGTTGGGGGCTCGATCCTGCAGGAGGCAGCAGATCAATGATTCTCTCTCATCATTGATATTTCTCATTCTCCCTTCCTCTTGAAATCAATCAATAAAAATATATTTAGGCCCTAACTGGTTTGGCTCAGTGGGTAGAGCGTCGGCCTGTGGACTGAAGGGTCCCTGGTTCGATTCCAGTCAAGGGCACATGCCAGGGTTGCTGACTTGATCCCCAGGAGGGGGTACGTAGGAGACAGCCGGTCAATGATTCTCTCTCATCATTGATATTTCTATCTTTCTCTCCCTCTCACATTCTCTCAGAAACAATAAAAATAACTAAAAATATCTATATATATATACAAGCAACTGAACAACTGTTCGACCAGTAGCTATGACGCACACTGACCACCAGGGGGCAGACGCCCAATGCACAGGCATGGAAACATGGAACAGACTGATGAATTTCGGAGGGAAGGGGGAAGGGGAGAGGGCGGGAAGAGATTAACCAAAGACCTTGTATGCATACTAGAGGCCCGGTGGGTCCCTCGGTCTGGCCTGCGGGGATCGAGTTGAAACCGGCTCTTTGACATACCCTGATAGGTCCCAGATTGCAAGTTGAAACCGGCTCTTTGACATACCCTGATAGGTCCCAGATTGCAAGTTGAAACCGGCTCTTTGACATACCGTGATCCTGGTGGTCCACCAGCCGTCACACCCTCAACTGGCCCTCCCGCCGGGAGATCCGGGCTGGTGGGGCTACTGCTGCCCGTCAGCCATCAGTCACACCCCCAACCAGCCCTTCCGCCGGGAGATCCAGGCTGGCAGGGCGACTGCTGCCCGTCAGCCATCAGTCATGCCTCCCGACGGGAGATCCGGACTAGTGGGGCGACTGCTGCCTGTCAGCCATCAGTCACGCCCCCAACCAGGCCTTCCGCCGGGAGATCCAGGCTGGCGGGACAACTGCGACCGCCAGCAGTCTCCCCGCCAGCCCAGATCTCCCACAGCATTCGCCTCGCCAGCCTGGATCTCCTGTGGGAGATCCGGCACTGGCGGGGTGACTGCTGCCCGTCAACCATCAGTCACACCCCCAACCAGCCCTTCTGCCGGGAGATCACAAGGACAAACTCTAGACAGAGTAGGAATATTCCTACCTGAACCCGTTTTCAGACATGATCAGTTATATGCTGCTTTCTCTTGAGTTCAAAGAGCATGTGACAT